AGACACACTCCGGGTTACAGGCCAATCCAGAAGCCCCCCCCCCCCTCCCCCCCCGCCCAGGACGACAGAGCTGCTGCGTTCCTTCCTGTACGGCGTCGGCCATCTTTATCAGTTGTTTGTGTTTTTATAGCGTAAACACTATTATTTTCTCAGCCCACTTTTCATTTTGTTCTTATTAAATGTTGAGGTTAACGCACACATCTGTGAATCCATCATCAGTTGTACCATTAAGCACTTTACTGCACGGTTTTTCGTTTAATTCTCATCTAATCGGTCCTTAGTACCGACTGTGTCCAGGAAGAACAGATGACCTCGGTGGACGCGCTGATGGAATCATATGTAGCTCATTAAGTCTGCGCCGTTACTCTGCGTCCTGGCTGATGATAAACAATCATTACCTGTCATCATCAGCTAATTAAAACGGCTTACCCCTGATTGGGTCCCCACTCACTGCGGATGCAGAGGTGCTTGTGCACCGGGTCCTTCATGTAGCCATCCAGACAAAGACATTCTCCTGGAACACAGAGACACAGACAGAGGTGAGAGGTTCACGTCGTCACTGGAGAGTTTCCTCCTCTTCCTCACTCCATCCTTCTCTGCAGGAGCCGTCCCACAGACACGTCTCTGCAGGCAGCCAAAGAACTTTTAATCACCTCTTGTTTTTTATGATGCCGTCATAGTTTTAAAGCCTCTGAGCTTCCAGCACGAGCTCACAAAGGTCTCCAGCAGGGGTCCTTTTAATTGGGTTGCAGATTTCACAACCCTCATGTTGCACAATAAGACGTCCTAGCGCCAGAATAATTGCCATAAACATCAATTATTTACTTGAAGGATATACCTAAGACCAAATAAACTGAACAAACCATTAAAATTATCTATTAAAGCTACATATACATAAAAAAACAACGTAATTTGTCATTTTATAAATGAGTGTTTTAGTCGTTTCAGATCTAAACTAGATATAGCTGTATACAGTTTTTTTCATTCATTCATTCTGTTTTAATAAGGTAATAAACCAAATAAATAATTGGTTTTAAAAATGTGTATCATCTGCACAGAGAATGATGCTGTAAAATCATTATTTATTGGCAGCAGAATTAATCTTGATTTTTTTTTGTCAATTCTAAAATATCTGAATACATTTTTTTTTAAAATATTTTTTCTTTCAGATTTTTCGATCAAAATATTTCATGGCCGTTAAACATTCGCTCTTCGTGAGAATGACAACATTTTAAAAATGTACTGGTGTTTTGTGACAAATACTGATTGACCCTAAAGACTTAAACTGCAGTATGTTCCAAAAGTAGCATTTTTTATTTTCATGTGCTGAAATTATTCTTTTCTGTTGAGCAAAAAATACAAATTGCACAATCCACGGTTGTGATAGAATTTTTTTTTTTTTGGAATGACAAAGCCTGACATGTTATAAATGGAGTGACCGTGACCCTGTTTGACCACTGAAGGGAACGTACTGTCCATTTGGATTTGCTGCTGTAACACGGTGCTCGTCAATCAGTCAGAAAATCATGAAAATTAAAAGATATTCATTTTTACAAAATGAGTTCAGTTGTTCACTCACACACACTTTTTAACTAGTTCCAGTTAAAAACCCCGTGGTTCAGTGCAATAAATAAAATGGTTTTCTTCACTGGTTTGGTTCCAAAATATATTTCATATTCAGCTTTGTTTCTGCAGTTACATGCAACGTTGCAAAACTGAGCAGCACGGACGTGAATTCATCTACATTTTTAAAACCAAACGGTTCAAGGCCGCTGGGTTGATTAGTTGTTGTTTTATTTTTAATTCCACTCATGTCAACGGTTCAGTCCAAGATCTGATATGAACATAAAGACTAGAAGGAAACAAGAAGGTTACAAGGCCAAAGGCTGAAGAAAAAAGAAAAGTGAGTTCCACTCGACCAAGTACCGTGTTAGCAACCTGCATGCTAATGAGTCTGAGGTGAAGCCTTTCAGCTAAAACAGAACGCAGCGGCTCCCTGGAGAAATATCCGACTCAGCTCGACTAATGGGGTCTCACCTTTGGTTAACAGGGTCACGGAGAACTAACATGTACAACATGCTCGGCTCATGCTCAGTGGGAGGCCCGTGACGGGCGCGTTAACTACTGCTGATGTAAAGGTCAAATGTCAATCACTGCCAGGCAACAGGAGATCACTCCCACACCGTGGCAGGAAGTACTGACAGTCAACACAACAGTAGCGGGTCACTGTCAGTTTTCATAGGCAGGGATGTCGCCCCCTACTTTTTATTTTCTTTTCTTTTTAAGTGACCTTTCCTGGCTGACACCAGAGCCAATCAGAGCCAGGCAGAGAAAATACTCCTGGTGGATACCATCGTCCTAGCTAAAGAAAAATCAGTCGTCTTAGTCCAAAATAAAAAATAATTATTTTGACACAAATCAGTCGTCTTAGTCCAAAATAAAAAATGACATGATCGTGGACAGGAAAAACAACTTCAAATCTTTCACCATTCTTTTCAAAGTTTTTCCTCTTTGGCAGCTCTGAGATCAGAACTGAATATCAGCTCAATCTTAAGTTGTTTTTCCGTCGATGAGTTCAGGAGCTGCAAATGTTTGTTATTAAAGTTGAAGTTTACTTTTGGAATGACACTGTAAATTGCGAGCAAAATGAAATCCCATTGACCCCTGTGCAGCCGTGGAGTTTTATTGAGATTTGTTAGCGAGCTCAGCCATCGACAGCACTTCAGCTCACTTTAATTAGAGAATTTCATTGTGCTCCAAGGTCGCGGCGGTAAACTCCGACTACTTTTACACTCACAAAAGGTGTTGCTTTTTCCATTTCCTTACTGTACAGGCACTCGGCCAGTTTCCCAGAGATTCACACTTCGGTTCGAGCGCTTTGCAGCTCGCCATTTGTCACCTTTCTTGGGCGCGCGACGCCCAACTGTTTTAATGGAAGTCGACTGGGTTGTAATTAACGGTGCCCTTAAATACCTCATGGGAATCAGATCAAGGAAAAAAAATTGCTTTATGTTGACTACTTAATAGCGTGTGCTGTAATTATGCAGGTCGTTAGGCAGGTTGAAACAGACCTACATGTGCTGCACTTATTTATATCCTTATCACAAGTGTTGTAGAAAATCTACTGCAGCAGGATGTGTCCTCGTGTAAAAGCCCCGCGTCGGCCAATTTACTCAATTTTCTCATCATGTGTCAAACAGCAGAGGCGCGAGGGCAAAGATGGCCGAATAACTGGCTGTACTCTGTCACGGTACACACGCAGTGCAGTAGTACACGCCGAATTTGGGTTTTTCAGCACTTTCCTCCAAATCAGAATTAAAGTCTTAAATTCCCTGAAATCCAGGGGTCTATATTTAACTCTCACCTTCAGCTGACGGTGTCTGCTACATCAGCCGTCGCTGCTCTCCTTTTTTTGGACTCAACAGAATTCGTGCACTTTTTTTTCACAATCAAATTCAAGCACTTTTTAAGGACTTTCAAGGTAATCTTTTTTAGTTCTTCATACGCGGTCTTTGCTTTTCAAACCTTAAAAAACACAACGTTGAAATTCAAACTTGTTTTTAAGGATTTCCAGCACCCGTACGAACCCTGAGTCGACCGATTATTGGCTGTTTTTAGAGAAGGTTTTAAAGTGTCTAAAATATTTTCTACTGTACTTCAGAGGAGAACGGTCAGTTTGACCTTTTTTTTTTACTGATGTTTAAAATTGTGACTTTTAGCTTCAAAGTTGCACTTATGTCTTATTTTGGAAAATACAGACATTCGTAAAAGACCTGGCAACTACTGAGTTCACAGAACTGCAGTATCTAAAGGTACTTCCAAAGTTTCCGGGCCAAACCTATATAATAATCTTGTGGCGTCAACTATAACAACTAAACAATAAGGCGTCACCAGGAACCGGGGCTGGTGTTCTATTGTCAGATCTGCACTGGCCTAAAGATATAGGTCGAGCTTTTAAAAAGGTATTTGAATAAGGAACTGAAAAGAAAACAAACATTTTGCTGAGTATAAAAAGCAGCAGAAACATTTGTCTCCCTGCAGAGACGCGGGGATAAAAAACAGATTTAAGGCACTTAACAAACAGCCCACCTGATAAAACCCTTTGCCTACTTAAGCAGCTGGCAGCTAAAGATTTATAATGGTTTTAATGACTTTATTCCCCATCGTTGTTTCCATAGAGAAAATCAGGGATTCTTCAGTGATTCACAGCACAAAAGTGTTCCTCCACCACCGTCTCAATTAAGAAGCTGACGAGTGTTATCCATGTTTGTGGTGTTCAAATAATGAGTCGACTTCTTTGTTGCCGAAACCGACTGATCAAACCAAGCAGGGGGCGACAAAGGGTTCTGTTCTGACTAACCAGAAAATCTGGGTGTTTTTTTCTTTTTTTTCCTTCTGTGGAAACAGACGGATCAACAACGTGGTTCAATAAAATATGAGACTGTGGTTTTGGATCATAGACTGAGAAAAGAACAGAGCTGTTCAATCCTACAGCTCCCCGCGGGAGGACGGGGGGGTGGAGGGGGATAAAGTGTGGTTCTTTCCTCACCCGTCTCCTGGTCACACTGGTGCTCACAGGGGTCCAGGAGCCGTCGTCCACACAGCTCGTTCACCCACGGCCCGCTGGCGTTCTGCTGGTAGTACAACAGGATCTGCGCCGGGTTCAGCCAATCCGAGGCGTCCAACTGGCTGCCCTGCAGCAGGACGAAGCGTGATCCTGGAAAAGGACATGGACACGAAGACGGACGTTCAGAAGATTAGAGAAGGGGAAGGAGGGGGGGTAACAACAACAACAATAACAACAGCAAGAAGAAACAGAACAACCCCAGGGTGGACGGTCGTCAGCTGCACTGACAGAAAGACTGTCGCTGCAGCGGGGGTTTCAAACTGACACCTTTTTTATTCTAAGACAGAAAATAGAATTGTTAAGAAGAAGACAGAAAAGTGATTAAATGTTTCTTTTCTTTTTCCTCCGACGTCGTCGTCTTTTGTGGTGAGGCGTTAAAACACCCCAGGACGTGTTGACAGCACGACGATTCCTAACCTGGGGAAAAGAAGAGCTGTAGATAGAACGGGGGTGTGAGAAGAGAAGGAGGGGAGAGCGGGGGGAGGGGGGGGAGTTTGAAGAACAGTTTGGTTTCAGATCAGATAAAATAAAACTTTGGTTTCATTATCATAAACCTCTGCTGATGTTTGGACGTCGTTCCTCGGCTGTTCTTCTCTGTGACTCAGTGACTCCACAGATTAACTTTGGCTGAAGTTCATTTCACTTCTCTTTATACGTGAACCACGGTTTTTATCACGCGTTTTTTCTGGGTTTTTTTTTTGCCAAATTCTCCTAAATGTTCATTCTTCCGAGAGACTGACATTTTTGATTTTCAGAGAGTACCAGCAGCAGAAACACAGATTTAAATTTCAAATCCACTTCAGTTTCATTTGGAGCAGGAATCTCACCGTGCTTCAACGTAAACACAAACAAATCTCCAGATGATTGACTTCTGCTGGAGTGAAAACCAAGACAAGACGTTACTCCTCGTCTCTGCACCGCCGTGAGTGAAGGCGTTTCCAGCTTCCTCTCTCTGAGGTAAGAACTCCAGATTTACATCTGATTCAGCGTGACAGCAAATCAAGTCCGATGAGATTGTGGAGACATTTACGGCAAAAATTTGAAAGTGATCCCAGTTTTGTTATTCATCAGGCGAATTTGCCATCTTTCATCTCTTCCCTTTAGAGTTCCCACCCTGAACACCTCCCCGGAATTTTAACATCTCCCCGGCAGGTCGGCGTTTACAGCCGGAAAGCAGCAGTGCTCAGAAATGGAACCAGTCCAGCAGATCAGAGATCAGCGAGGTCAGTCACGGTTTATAATATATCTGGACGGTCGGCTCTCCAGCAGAGGCCACTGGTCCACTGGTCCACCGGTCCACTGGTACCTGCAGCAGCCAGGTGTTCTGTTGGAATTCATCATCACGCTGGCTGAACATATCAGAAAGTACATGAGGGGAGGGGGTGAGTGTGGGGGGGGGGCAGTTATGGAGAGGGTGGCTGCAGGTGGTCAGAGTGACCTGGCCTGGATGTGCTGTGGTGCCTTAAGGCCACATCTGTCCTGTGGTCTCATTTAAGACAAGACAGAGGACCAGACGTTCACCTCTTCAGCTTCAGAAATGTTGAAAAAATAATAATAAATATATATTCAAACCACTGTTGTTCAGATTTTCTTTTTAAATCCAATACGAGTAGATTCCAACTAAAACCGTGGCTCCTGCAAATAATTTAGTCTGTGCAGGTGTAATCTCCAGCTCGTCCACCGGGCTGTGAACACAGAGCCCACATTAACATATCCAGGTTCACTCTTATGGTTACAGCTGTGTCCTGCAGTAAGTCCTGCTCCTGTCTTCATCCCCGATGGTAAAACTGCAGAAACTGTTGACCTACTTTAAAAAAAAAACTACCCTGAGGAGGAAGATACTCCGAACTGCAGTAGAAAAATACTCAGACAACAACTGGACGACTGGTACACAGATGGTCAGGGTTCAAAGCCCTGACACTGATACCAGTACTTGTATGGACGGATCTTTATCGCCAACATGTTTAAGGGGGGTGGGGGGGTGGAGGGGTACCTACCGTCAGCGATGAGGTGCTCCGGCACGTGGAGAATTACTCGTACTGACAGGTTGCAGGCGAGGTGAGAGGAGTAAACCAGGCCGATCACGCAGCTGACGACACTTATAAGAGTGAGCGTGGTCTTATTGATGGGGCTCCGCGGGGAACCTACTGCTGGAGGAGAATCAGAACGAAGGGAGGGAATAGAAAAGACGGGG